AAAGAGTGAGGAACCTGCTGTTTTTTCCCAGAGAGAGAGCTGAATTCGAGGCCGCCTCTGATTCGCTCAGAGAATCCCAGCAGGACTGAGGCCACGGCCAGCCCAGCCCTCCCGAATGCCGTCTGTTGCCCGGGTGCCCGGCTTTCTGTGCGGGGCCACGGAAGGTGAGGGGGAAAGGTCTGCCCACCCCCCCCCATCCTCTTCCACTCTCACGGATCCGTCTCTTCTGCTCCCCCCCCCTTTCTGGACCCTCCCCCAGGACTCCTCTCAGGGAAACTCGGTCTACCAGATCAACATGATCCACTACATCAAGCACAAGTACCCGGAACTGCAGGTCATCGGCGGCAATGGTGAGCATTGGGGGGTTGTGGTGTGTGGTGGGGGTGGGGTCCGTGGGCAGCCCAGCCCTTCTGCAAAGGGGCCTCCTCCTCCAATGGGGCGCGGGGAGGCAGGGCGCTCTGTGCTGGGCTGGTGTGCGCAAGGCGGAGGGCCGGGCTCCTTCCCACGGCGGCTGGCCCTCCACCCCTCCTTTCCTGCTGGACTCACACGGCAGCTGTGGACATCCCTGCTGGTTCAGGAAGGCAGCGGAGTGGTGCTTCCCCTGCCCCCCACCCCCCCACACATCTGGAGGGCCCTGGACTCTGCTCCGGAGTCGGCACTTGAGGAAAGCAGCCTGGTCCGTCTGTGCTGCCCTGCGAGGCTGGTGGGGTGTTCGGTGCAAACAGCCGGGTTCATCACAGAAGGCCCTCCAGGTGGCGCTGGCTGGGTCAGGGCCGTGGCAAGTCTGGCGATGAGTCTGGAGAAGAGTCACCGTGGTGTGGTGAAGAGTGGTGGGCTCCCAGTCTGGAGAGCTGGGCTTACTTCCCCACTCCTCCCCCACATGAAGCCTGCTGGGGGGGGGGTGTCTCTCAGAACTCGCTCAGCCCCACAAGGTGCCTGTTGTGTTGGGGAGGGAGGGAAAGGTGGTTGTGAGCCACTTTGGGACTCCTTCAGGTACAGATAAGCGGGGTATAGAAAACCAGCTCGTCTTCTGCACACCCTGGGCGGCAGCAGCAAGTGCACAGAGAGGGCCCCCCCCCCCCTCCTTTCAGAGAATGCAGAAATAACGGGCAGGGAGCGAGGGAAATCCTGGTGGCACCGGGTCGTTTATCGATCTGCAGCATTCTGCTTCGACAGCTGAGCGGCTTCCAGGCATCTGTGCTCCCCCCGAACACACTAAATCCACCAGGTGTCTTAATTCCGCTGGTGATTACAGAGGGAGAGATGCAAATTCCGTCTTGGGTTGTATCAAAAGGGCCATAGCCTCGAAATCGCAGGAGGTCACAGCCCCTCTGTAGACTGCCTTGGTCAGGCCGCACCTGGAGTCCCGTGTGCAGTTCTGGAGGCCTCACTTCAGAAAGGATGTGGGCAAAACCGAGAGGGTGCAGAAGAGAGCAAGGAGGACGATCAGGGGTCTGGAGACTGAGCCCTATGAGGAAAGGCTGAGGGAAACGTTTCATTTGGAAAAGAGGAGATTGGGGGGGGGGGACATGATTGCTCTCCTTAAATATCTGAAAGGCTGTTCTTTGGAGGAAGGCAAGGAGCCGTTCCAGTTGGCAGCAGAGGAGAGGACCCAAAGCAACAGGATTAAATTACATGCAGAAAGGCATCGGCTGGATATTAGGAAAAACTTTCCCACGGCCAGGGTGGCTCAAAGGTGGAATCAGCTGCCTTGGGAGATGTGGTTAGTGCCCCTTCACTGGCAGCTTTCGAGAAGAAGCTGGAGGAATATCTGTCAGAGATGCTCTAGGCTGGTCCTGCATTGGGCAGGGGATTGGACGAGATGGTCTGTGTGGCCCCTTCCAGCTCTATGGCTCTATGATTCAATACACCGAGCATCGCTTCTCAGTGGAGAATAAGCCCCCAAGATTGCAAAGCCCATTGTGGGAGAAAGACCAGGGACCGAAACCATCCCCATTCACCGTGCACGGCAGGATCAGGCCCGTTGCCCATCAAGGGCAGCATCCTGTTAACAGCATGACCACGGAGGCTTGAAAAGGCCCACGCGTGGCTCGTGGTTTTTCTTTTCCCTCCAAAGCTGTGTCTGAAAGTCCCACTCTCCGGCTTGTTCTTTCTGGACTGAGGCACTGCCCAAGCCGAGAGGGAACCCTCAGCGCTCTTGGGCCCTCATGCTGCTGCTGGCTTCTTGAGAGCCCGTTTGGAGTTGTGGTGAAGAGCACGGACTCTAATCTGGGAGAACCGGGGTTTGATCCCCCACTCCTCCACATGCAGCTGCTGGTGTTACCTTGTGTCAGTCACAAGTTTTCTCAGAGCTGTTCTCTCCAGGGCAGTTCTCAGAAGAGCTCTCTCAGCCCCACCTACCTCACAGGGTGTCTGTCTGTTGTGGGGAGGGGGAGGGAAAGGAGTTTGTGAGCCACTCTGACACTCCTTCGGGTAGTGAAGGGCCGGGTATAAATCCAGTCTCTTCTCTTTTTATTCATGTATTTTGTTTCTGGGCAGGGGCCCATGCTTGCCACGTGATTTACTGGTGCAGGGCAGGTGGGAACAGTGGAATCGGCCCAGGCCTTTAAGGGCCTTTGTGGTGCAGGAGCAGCATGCTTGGCGGGGGCCTCCAGAGGGCAGGGTGTGGGTGGTCTCCAAGGTCCTTTACCACCCCCACAAGGTCTCGGTTGCTGTCCTGGGGAGACCAGCTGTTCGCGCGCAGCCTGGAGCGTGCCCGGAGGCCAGGTATTTCACAGGCCCCTCTGCTTTCTCTCCTATTGGATGCACAGTGGTGACAGCCGCCCAGGCCAAGAACCTCATCGACGCCGGGGTGGACGCCTTGCGCGTGGGCATGGGCAGCGGCTCCATCTGCATCACACAAGAAGGTGCGTCCCCGGGGGGCTGCGGAGGGTGGGTTGTGGCTGCCGGGAGTCGTGCGGGTGCTGGTTTTTGATCGAGGGGGCCGTGTGTCTGTGCTGCCTGTTGTGCAGAGTGTTCCTCTGAATCTTCCGAGGGCTGAGCGAAAGGAACAGAGCTCTTCTGACACACCTTGTGGTCCTGCTGGTCTGAGAGAAAGCCATCCTCTCCTGGGGAGGGGGCGATGCCCAGCAGCCTGGGCTAGGGGAGGGAGGCGGGCACCACCTTCCATGTGGGTGCAGATAGTCAAGTCCCAAAGTGATGCCGTCCTGCGGCTGCAGTTGGGCAGGAGAAGATGGCAGCTGCCTCTCTTGCCTGGGAAGGCCGGCTGCGCCAGGTTCCGGAAATGATTCATGGGTTCGTGTCCTGCATTCTCAGTAAGGATCTTTCCAACGCAACTTGAACCACTGGCCCTTAAAGGTGAATTCACGCCAATGGCCACCGACTCCTGCCTCTCTGTGATAAGAACATAAGAGAAGCCAACGTTGGATCAGGCCAATGGCCCATCCACTCCAACACTCTGTGTCACACAGGGGCGAAAAACACCAGGGGCCACCAGGAGGTCCAGCAGTGGGGCCAGGACACTAGAAGCCCCCCCCCACTGTTGCCCCCCCCAAACACCCAGAAGACAGAGCATCCCCTGCCCCAGACATAAGAACATAAGAGAAGCCAATGTTGGATCAGGCCAATGGCCCCTCCAGTCCAACACTCTGTGTCACACAGTGGCCAAAAACACCAGGTGCCCTCAGGAGCTGGGCCAGAACTCCAGAAACCCTCCCGCTGTTCTGCCCCCCAAACACCCAGAATAAAGTGCATCACTTGCCCCAGACCAAGAGTCCCTATCTATACCTTGTGGCTAATAGGGGCCACTGATGGACCTCTGCTCCATATGCTTATTCCCTTTTGAAGCCGTCCACGCTTGTAGCCGCCACCACCTCCTGTGGCAGTGAATTCCATGTGTTAATCACTCTTTGGGTGAAGAAGGACTTCTTTTTATCCATCCTAGCCAGACTGCTCAGCAATTTCATGGAGTGCCCACAAGGAGTTCTTGTATTGTGAGAAAGGGAGAAAAGGACCTCTTTCTCTACCTGCTCTATCCCACGCACAATCTTATAAACCTCAATCATGTCACCCCTCAGCCGCCGTTTCTCCAAGCTAAAGATGGGTAGAAGCATTTGAGTGTGAGCACCACATCTGCTCTTTGGGCGGCAAAGCAATTCACTGGCGGGAGAAGGTGTGGCTGAGTGGAAGGTCCCCTCTTGGGTGCCAGCGAGTCCTGCTCGGAGGCCACCTTTGCTTCTTGCAATAGGTTCAGTGAGCAAGAATGTGTTCTAAGGGCCTGCCGCGGTGACCCGTGTTGCTTGACTGCTTGCCCATTCCTACCCAGAGAGCGGCAGTTCTGGTCCGGGGGGACGGCGGCCTCTTTTCCTTCCTCTCTGATCTCTGCTGTCACAACTGCAGTGGCCCTTCCGGGGGGGGGGGATGGGGTGACTCTCGGGCTGGGCGTTGGGGGGGGGAGTGTTCCATCTGGCTCCCCTTCTGAGCCCTGACCCTCTTTCTTGCTCTGCGCTCCAGTGATGGCGTGTGGCCGGCCGCAAGGCACAGCAGTCTACAAGGTAGCCGAGTACGCCCGCAGGTTTGGCGTGCCCGTGATCGCGGACGGCGGCATCCAGACCGTGGGACACGTGGTGAAGGCTCTCTCGCTCGGCGCCTCCACCGGTGAGTGGGGCTTGTCGGCACGCCTCGGGAGGCCTCGAGTGTGGAGAGGCACTTTTATCCACACCAGCTTCCGAGACTCCCCCCGCTCCCGCCCGTTTAAGAAGCCGTGGGCACATTTTCCTACAGCCCTCTTTTAGGTATTTGGTGTTCTTTGCAGCATAAATAAAACCTTCAGCATTTTGCATCTGCTGCTTGTTTGGTGTCGTGGTGAAGTGCGCGGACTCTAATCTGGGAGAGCCGGGTTTGATTCCCCACTCCTCCACTTGCAGCTGCTGGATGACCTTGGGCAAGCTGTAGTTCTGACAAGAGCTGTCCTTGAAAAAGAGCCGTTTCTGTCAAGAGCTCTCTCAGCCCAACCGACCTCGCAGGGTGTCTGTTGTGGGGAGAGGAAGGGAAAGGAGTTTGTCAGCCGCTCTGAGACTCCTTTGGGTAGTGAAGGGCAAGGGCATAAATCCAGTCTCCTCCTCTTCTCCTTCTTTTGGGGCCCTGCCTCTCCCCCTCCCCACCCAAAAATCTGGCACTGTTGCTGGTAGACTCCTGTAGGGATATGGCCTGAGGCAGGGCTGAACCACAGTCCAAAATAGGGGGGGGGGGTCGCTGTCTTCTTGCTCAGGTGGGTCGCCATGTCGGTCTGAAGCAACAGAACAACGTTTGAGTCCGGTGGCACCTTTAAGACCAACAAAGTTTTATTCAAAGTGTAGGAGCTGTTGTGGGCATGCACACTTCTTCAGATACTTGTTCTTCTTATTTATTTTCCATTTTCTTCCACCCGCGTGCTTGAGGTGGTTCGTGGCACAGAAATCCTTTTCCGTCCTAAAGAGGACACAGTCTGTCAGATCCAGCAATCAGTAATGTGCAGCAGGAGACCGAATGAGCTGTAATTAAAACAAAAACCCCGGGGGCCTCTTGAAATTGAACGGAACCCGCAGTGGGGGCCATAAGCTGGAGAACCAATCCAACCACCCTCAGCTAATTAAAACCCAGCAGAATTTTTTTTTTTAAGTCTAGGTCTGACGATGCCAAATGCAGGTAGGACGGAAGGGCTTTGCCTCAGCAGGGGAGGGGCAGCCACAGAGCAGGCCCCGGTCCCTCCTGGCCACCCCCCACATTATATATCAAAGGAAGCATAAGCTATTGTGATAAGATTACGAAATACTTTTACTAACATAATACCCCCTATAATACCAAAACACCATAATCCTCTTGTTTATAAGACTATAAAGTCTCTTAATATGCAGAACCGTTTCTGAAAATAAACTGTTTTCCAGACTCCCGTCTTGTTGTTTGTAGATTGTAGCATACTTGCATGCTTGCGTGCGCGACCAGCAGTCGACTATTTGCCAGTTTCACAATGGTTTCCTCGGGCACACAGACCAGTTAATTCTGCAATAGAATGCTGGCTCCAATAATTCAGAAAAGCTTCTTTGGCACACAAAAGCCTCCACACCAATTTCAAAAGGCAAAATGCTCAAGAGTGGCTAGTAGCGCAACTATGGTGTTTTGGTGTTACATGGTTATTATGTTAGTAAAAGTATTTCATAATCTTATCATAATAGCTTATGCTTCCTTTGATATATTGTCTTATACTGTGATTCTCTCAGTCCCATTACTACACCCCCCACATAAGGTGGTGTGTGTGTGCAGAGGAGGGCTGTGGGGGGCAGGCAGCTCCTCGCCTTGGGTCTGGCGGTGGAGACCTGAACACCCCCCACACACACACGCCCGGCATTCTCTCTCTTCCCTCCTAGTCATGATGGGTTCCTTGCTGGCAGCCACGACGGAGGCTCCGGGGGAATACTTCTTCTCCGACGGGGTGCGGCTGAAGAAGTACCGGGGGATGGGCTCCCTGGACGCCATGGAGAAGAACAGCAGCAGCCAGAAGCGCTATTTCAGGTGCGCGGGGGGGGGGGCTGGCGTGACCCCCTGGAGAGCAACGGGGCCGTGTTTAGGGGGAGGAAGGGTATGGCAGGGGCTGGGGGGGAGAAGCCGCGTGCATGGATGGAACCCTTGGGGCAGATCCATTTCAAGGAAGGGGAAGACCTCCGGAAGCCAGACTCAGGGCCAGAAGGCCGCGGGGCAGCCGGAGGACACGTTTCCCTGCTGCGGAGGCCACCCCCCCCCCCGCATGCTGCTGGTCAGAAGCCCTCCTCCGAGAGGACAGGCACTGGGCCTAGCCGCCCACCCGGCCCGCTGGTGCTGAAGGCAGTGTTCCTGAGTGGGGAAGGCAGAGGAGCAGGCCCCAGCGGGGGGCGAAATGGGAGTGGGGGGCTAGTTGGGGTGGCTGGGGCAGGCGGCCTGTTTCGCAGGGGTGGGTCTCCTGTCCTCTGGCGCTTGACTCTGCGACATCTCTCCCTGCCCTGCAGCGAGGGGGACAAGGTGAAGGTGGCACAGGGCGTCTCGGGCTCCATCCAGGACAAGGGATCCATCCAGAAGTTCGTGCCCTACCTGATTGCTGGCATCCAGCACGGCTGCCAGGACATCGGAGCGAAAAGCCTCTCCGTTCTGCGGTGAGGAAGCCCCTCCGAGGCGATGGGTGCGCCCCCTGTGGCCGGCTCATGGGTTGGGAGCTTGCTGGTGCGGGCCCCTCGTGTCTCCCCCACCCCACGGGTGGGCACCCGGCTCTGGCACTCCCCCTGGCTGTTGGCAGACTGGCACCGAGGCATCAGGTGTTTGCATTGCTTTGCTGTAACATCTCTTCTTCATCTTAGGAAGACGCTCATGCAAATTTAGGGGGTGGTCAGACCTGGAAATGGAGCTGCGGTGGCTCAAGGGGTTAAGACGCTGAACTGCAGGCTGTGGAAGGTCGGTCGTTCAGCAGTTCGAGACCTGAGTGTGCCGCATGACGGAGTGAGCTCCCGTCTCTAGTTCCAGCTCCTGCCAACCTAGCAGTTTGAAAGCAAGAAATTGCAAGTAGATAAATAGGGACCACTTCGGTGGGAAGGTCACAGCGTTCCGTGCGCCTTGGTGTTGAGTCATGCCGGCCACATGACCACGGAAACGTCGTCGGACAGCGCTGGCTCTTCGGCTTTGAAACAGAAATGAGCACCGCAACCCTAGAGTCGGACTTGACTGGCTTTCGAGCAAGGGAACCTTTACCTTTACAGACCTGGAATCATGACTATATTCCCGATTGTTATTTCTGCAGCTCAGGAACGGTGTGTCCAAAAGACAGCCATTGTCATGTTCATGCAGATGCGAAAGGGATGTTGCAGAGAAGCTGCTGTGGCGTGACGTGTTGGGCTGCTTCTGTGGCTGAGATGATTGTCCTTCGGGTGTTTCCCTCTTGCACCCGAGAGCGCTTCTGGGCCGGTCCCAGCAACTGTTTTGTGTGGCTTGCTGCTGTGTGCTGCTGTGTCCCCTTCTCTGTGGCTGCTGCTTTCCTGGGATCCCTGGATTCGTTTATTTGTACCACTTTTCTCCCCTCTCACAACAACCCAAAACATCAGACCTTCAGGAGAGCCCTGCTGGATCAGGCCAGGGAGGGTCCATCCAGTCCAGCCTCCTGCCTCTCACACAGGGGCCAGCCAGTCCCTCTGCAGGGCCAGCAACAGGGCAGGGAGGCCGAGGACTTCCCCTGATGCTGCCTGCCGGCACCGGAATGCAGAGGCTGACTGCCTCTGAATGTGGAGGTTCCCCTCAGTCACCATGGCTAGTGGACACTCATAGACTAATCCTCCATGAATCTGTCTAATCCTCCTGTAAAGCTATTTGTTCCTGTGGCCATCATCACCACATCCTCTGGCAGCGGATTCCACATTTTAATCACCCTCTGTGTAAAGTGGTATTCCCTTTTGCCTGTCCTGAGCCTACTGCCCATCAGCTTCATTGGATGCCCTGGAGTTCTAGTCTTTTGGGAGAGGGGGAAAAAGTTACCTCTGTCCTTGTCCCCCCCCCCTTAGTCGTCTCTTTTCCAAACCAAGAAGTCCCCAACTCTTCTGCCTTTCCTCCTGGGGGGGGGGGGGAGGCTCCAACACCCTCGCCATCTTTTTCTCCCTCCTCTGCACTTTTTCCAGCTCTCCTGTCAGGCAGGTTAGTCTGAGAGAGTGTGACTGGTCCGTGGTCACCTGCGAGCATCCGTGGACTTGAACCTGGGTCTCCCAGATCTGAGTCCCGTGCTCGAACCACACTACCACGCTGGTGCCGCTGGCATCGTGAGGGAGGGAAAGGGCAGGCAGCCCCCTCTGCAGAAATGGTCCCCCCAGAAGCACAGCCTCGTGACCCCCGGATTGGGAGGGGCACCGTGCTGGTGCCTTTTTCCATCTGGGGGGGTGGTGGAGTTTAAGTTTTGATGGCTTTGGCAGAAGAGGCCGCTCTCTGTTTTAGCCCCTGGTGGAGGCAGCTGTCCTCCAGCCTACAGAGGTATAGTGCTCATGAAAATGGAGGTTCCACACTTGGCACATTGGGAGGCCCCTGACCGACCCCCTCCTCCGAGGACACACTCCCTTAAAACTTGCATCCTGTCTCGATTGAAAGAAGAACTCAAAATTCCCTCCTGCGCCCGTCTGTCTCGGGAGCAGCTGAAGAGAGCAAGGAGATGTGGGGCTGGGGGGGGTGTGGCAGTGGGGGGCAGCAGGCTGATTCCCCCCCCCCCCCCGATGTTCTCTTGCCAGGTCGATGATGTACTCCGGAGAACTGAAGTTCGAGAAGCGGACGATGTCGGCCCAGATCGAGGGCGGGGTCCACGGTCTCCACTCGTAAGTGTCCCTGCTGGGGCTGCTGGCCTGAGTCCTCCCTCTCCTTGGACAGGCCGGCTGGCCAGAGCTCTTCCCCAGTGGCCAGGAGGTGCCTTTCAGTGAAGCGGGGAAGGGTTTCCTCTCTCTCTCCCTCCCTCCCAGGGGACTCTCTGCAGACTCCCTCCTGGGGTGTTTTGAGGAGGGCTGGGCCTGTGCTTTGTAGCCTGGTTGCTGTCTCTGTGCCCTTTGGGGGGCCCTGCCTCCGCTTGGCTTGGGCTGAGACACCTGCCATTTGAAACGGCCTTTTGCAGCATTAGGTGGGCCCCTGTCCAAATAGCCGTGCCCTTTGCCCTCAGTCCGAGGGTACACCCACATTGCTCCTTTGCCCGAGGGACACCAGTGAGGGCAGCTGCCGAGTCCTGCTCCTCCTTGTCCCGGGTTCTGATGGAGCCGTGTGGGCCTGGCCGACTGCTGGAGTCCGGCACCAGCTCTCTCCCCGTCCATGCTCCCGGCAGAAGGGCTGGGGGCGTCTCAGGTCCCCGTTGCGGTGGCCGAGGGGAGTTGCCAGTGTCTGGAAAGGGAGGGGGGTGTCAGCTTGTTCAGGTCAGCCCTGCCAGAATTTGCAGAGGCCGGATCACTCTGGAAGGCAGACGGAACCCTGGTGGGGCTTTGCTTCTTGACGTTGCCGGAACGGGAAAGGAAGAACGCTTAGTTTCTTTGCAAGTGCACGATGGCAGGATCAGGCCCAGCTAGGGCTTTGGCGGGGAGAGGGGGAGGGAGGCAGAGAGGAGTGTGCCCCCAGTTTAGGGCTAGCGGACGAGTAAATTGTGTTAAAACATAACTTCAGAACCTGATTGAATACAGCAAAAACCCATCCCGTGCCTTGTAGCATCTCGAAAGGGGGAGGGGGGCATGCAGTCTTTGTGGAAGGGAACCCCGAGTGACTCCTCCTGCTCTCTCTCTCTCTCCCTCTCCCTCTCCCTCTAAACCAGGGGTCCCCAGCCTTTTTGGGCCTCTGGAATCCTGACGCAGTCACAAAATGGACACGGAGCCAGCTGTAAAATGCCAGGGAGTGCGCTTACACATTGTAGTCAGTCTTCAACATTTCAGGCAGATGGTATTCCTCACGGGATGCCTTTGGATGTGCACAGTTAGGAGCCCCGCAGGATAAAAGCCGCCCGCCCACTTTCTAGGAGCCCCGGGCAGGCCCCCGGAATGGTGTTGGCCGGGGATCCCTGTGCTCAGGGGACGGTGGAGGCAAAAGGGCACACACCCCCCCCCAGCACGGGGGCTGGTGTGCAGTGGGAGCAGGGTGAGCCTGTCAGAGGACTAGAGGCTTGTCTTCATAGCTTGGCTGGGAACCGACGGAGAGACGGTGCCCGTGCAGGAGCAAAGTGCCCAGCCAGGCCAGGGGAGGGGCGAAGGTTTCCCTTTGTTTCCAGAGAGCTTGGTGGATGCCTGAGGGTCTCTCGGGTTTTGCTCTGGTTCTCGTCTTCTCTCGTGCATGTTTTTGTGGCACCAGGGATGGCGCAGAGCTGGTTGTGCAGCCCGGCGTGGTGGGCTTGAAGGGGGAATCTCCGTTTTCCCTACCCCTTCTGAGACGGGGAGACGCTTCCCACCAGCCTCCGGCATGACAATGTGCAGATGAGATGGGGTCCCGTACCTTGTGGCACTGGCTGTCCTGGAATGCCAGATTTACACTCAGAAAGCATAAGAAGAAAGGAGACCCAATCTGGTGTAGTGGTGAAGTGCGCGGACTCTAATCTGGGAGAACCAGGTTTGACACCCCACTCCTCCTCCACTTGCTCCTGGCTGGATGACCTTGGGCAAGCCGTAGTTCTGATAAGGGCTGTTCTTGGAAAAGAGCCATTTCTGTCAGAGCTCTCTCAGCCCCGCCTACCTCACAGGGTGTCTGTCTGTTGTGGGGAGGGGAAGAGAAAGGAATTTGTAAGCCGCTCTGAGACACCTTTGGATAGTGAAGGGCAAGGGGTATAAATCCAACCTCTTCTTCTTCTAAAGAGAATGTGTCCTCCTGTTTGGGGTGGGCTCTTAGCACGCGGGGGGGGGGGGCTGATTAAAAAAAAAAACTGTCCAGGTTCTCCAGTACATTTTAGCCAAATGAAGCTCACACTTCAGTGAACCTCTGCCCCTCGTTTTGAGGCAAATCCATTTCCATCCCCCTTGCCTTTGCAGCAGTGCCCCGTACAAAAGACCGGAGGAGGAGGAGGAGGAAAAGGGGAGAGGGACGACAGCCCCGTTAGGGCACACCGGGTTGCCCACCACGAGGGGGCAACATCTGCAGGGAGGCTCGGTTGGTCTTGGCCCCAAGAGTCAGACCCGTGGCTGTGTCTCCAGGCTGTCTGCGGGGCTCTCGTTCGGGGCTGCCGCAGGAGGGGTGAGGCTGGCGTGGGTCTCAGCTGTTGGCCATCGGGGCCTCCGGAAGGCAGCAGGGGCTCCTGGCTCGTGAATCTCCTTGCGGGGGCCCCAAGGGGGGGCCTGGACCTGCAGAGCCTCCTCGGGAGTGGGAGGGGAGCAGAGAGGCCTGCGGCTGAGGAGGGCTGCTTTCCCCTGGGGGGCCTTCGCTGGCTCAGCAGCCAGGGGTCCCTTCGGGGTTCTCTGACCCCCTTCCCCACCCCACCTCAGCCCCGTCAACATTAAAGGGCTGCTTCTTCCCAGGGGTGGAAGAGGCCCACAGGAGGCGTGAGCCTTGCAGTAAAGGTTGCGCCACGCTCCCCACGGCAGACGCAGCATTTAGCAGCAGCGGGAGGGGAGGGGTGGCAGGGCACCCGAAGGGGCTCTCCCAAATGGGGGCTAAGTGGTATTAGATAGCAGCAGAGTCAGGCCCATTCCGTACTCCTGGGTGAGCTCCAGGCCACTGCTCTTTCCAGGTAAGAACATGAGAGAGAAGCCAGTGTTGGATCAGGCCAATGGCCCAGCCGGTCCAACACTCTTGTGTCACACAGTGGCCAGAAATACCAGGGACCATCAGGAGGTCCAGCAGTGGGGCCAGGAGGACACTAGAAGCCCTCCCACTGTTGACCCCCCCCCCAAGGACCATGAACACAGAGCATCCCTTGCCCCAGACATTAGAACATAAGAGAAGCCAATGTTGGATCAGGCCAAAGGCCCATCCAGTCCAACACTCTGTGTCACACAGTGGCCAAAAATACCAGGAGCCATCAGGAGGTCCAGCAGTGATCCAGAAGACCTCCCACTGTTGCCCCCCCTCCCCAAGCACCAAGAATACAGTGAACATAAGAACATAAGAGAATCCAATGTTGGATCAGGCCAGTGGCCCATCCAGTCCAACACTCTGTGTTACACAGTGGCCAAAAACACCGGGTGCCCTCAGGAGGTCCACCAGTGGGGCCAGGACATTGGAAGCCCTCCCACTGTTGACCCCCCCAAGCACCAAGAATACAGAGTATCCCTTGCCCCAGACATAAGAACATAAGAGAATCCAATGTTGGATCAGGCCAGTGGCCCATCCAGTCCAACACTCTGTGTCACACACAGTGGCCAAAAACACCAGGGGCCATCAGGAGGTCCAGCAGTGGGGACAGGACACTAGAAACCCTCCCACTGTTGCCCCCCTCCCCCCAAGCACCCAGAATAGAGAGGATCACTTGCCCCAGACATAAGAACATGAAAGAAGCCAATGTTGGATCAGGCCAATGGCCCCTCCAGTCCAACACTCTGTGTCACACAGTGGCCAAAAACACCAGGTGCCATCAGGAGGTCCAGCTACAGGGCCAGAAGACCTCCCACTGTTACCCCCCCTCCCCAAGCACCAAGAATACAGAGCATCCCTTGCCCCAGACATAAGAACATAAGAGAAGCCAGTGTTGGATCAGGCCAGTGGCCCATCAAGTCCAACACTCCTGTGTCACACAGTGGCCAAAAATACCAGGGGCCATCTGGAGGTCCAGCAGTGGGGCCACTAGAAGACCTCCTACAGGGCCAGAAGACCTCCCACTGTTACCCCCCCTCCCCAAGCACCAAGAATACAGAGCATCCCTTGCCCCAGACATAAGAACATAAGAGAATCCAATGTTGGATCAGGCCAGTGGCCCATCTAGTCCAACAATCTGTGTCACACAGTGGCCAGAAACACCAGGTTTGTGGAAGTACATTCCGAGGATGAGGTAAGGGCCCTTGTAAGGAGCCCAAGTGGGTGACACACCCACACAACACCCCCGCCCGCCTCCAGTTGCTGAGATGCTGTGTGTGTGTGTGTGTGTGGGGAGCCGGCTCTCAGTTTTGCAGAGGCTCCAGGGCCTGGCTGGGCAGCTTATTGCCTGGGAGCCTCCCCCTCACCCCCAGCGCCTGTCCCCTGGCCTCAGCCTGGCAGAGGGGTGAGCACAAATGGGGGGGGGGCTTTTAGAGAAGGAGCTCTGTGTAGAGGTTGGGATGGGGTCACCGTGGGGGGGGGGCTTTGGTGGGTTCCTTCTGCTAGGCCCTGGTGTCAGTGTCTGCTCTTTCTTCGGGGGGCGGGGGGGGGAGCTTTGCTAGCAGGTGGAGTTGTGAGCTTTGCCGGTAGTTTAGCTGGAGGCCCCCCCCCCAGAGTGCTGACTCTCCTTGGTGGGGGGGGGAGTCAGGGCCCCCCGGAGGGCTCTCTCTGTGCATGGTGGTGGCGGATAGGTGGCAGTGCTGCAGGGGCCAGGGAGGGGCACGTGCTTCGGTGACAGGCCGGTGCTGACCATGTAACCTTCTCTCTTTCTCCTGCCCACGTGTCACGGCTCTCCTGTAGCTTTACATTTCTGCCATGTAAGTAACTGGAATCCACAGACCTGCCCACCCCACCCCACCCCACACTTGCGCGTGTTGCGGGGAGGGGGGGCAGCTGCTGCATTCTTCCCTTTGGACACTTTCCCCTCACTTTGGGACGTCAGCGAGGGCTGCGGACTGGATGCAGTGTAGCCCCCCCCACGCCTCTCCTCTACCCCCCCACCCTGCTTTTGCAAGCTCCTCCTCCCAAGATTTCCACCAGGGATCTGAGTGAGCCACGTGTGGATCGTCGTGTTCACGGAGCAGGGAAGATCCCACCTGATGGCTCTCTGAAGCTGGGTTTCTGGGACCAGTACCCTTGGCAGGCAGGGCTGTCTTTCCAGCCAGGGGTCTGACCAAAAGCCCCCCCCCCC